GACAACTATCCATACTGTTCTAAGTCTGGCTATTTCCAGGCATTGGCCCATTCATCAGCTTGATGTGAAGAATGCATTTCTTCACGACCATCTTCACGAGACCGTTTACATGCATCAGCCACCGGGATTCCAGGACCCTCAGCATCCAGATTATGTATGTCATCTTCAGCGATCTTTATACGGTCTTAAATAGACCCCGCGGGTTTGGTATCAGTGGTTTGCTCAACAGGCTCTACGAATGGGTTTTCACCACAGTCTCACGGATACCTCCCTATTTATTTACCATCATGGAGCCGATACAGCCTACTTATTACTATATGTTGATGGCATTGTGTTGACTGAGTCATCTACGTCTCTTCTTGAGTCCATCATATCTCACCTCAGATGAGAGTTTGTGATGACTGATCTTGGTGCTCTCAACTATTTTCTTGGTATTTCAGTTACTCGATCGTCTCATGGTCTCTTTCTATCGCAACAGAAATTTGCATCTGAGATTCTTGACAGGGCTCATATGAGTCAGTGTAATCCTGCTCGCACACTGGCCGAAACCACACATAAGTTGGATGCTATTGGTCCTCCTGTTGCCGGCCCCTCTCTGTTTTGCAGTCTGGTTGGTGCTCTTCAGTACCTTACTTTTACTCGGTCGTACATTGCCTTCGCTGTTCAGCAAATCTGCATATCCATGCATGACCCACGGGAGCCTCACTTGCATGCTCTCAAGCACATTTTACGCTATATCAGAGGTACCTTGGACCACGGTCTGCAGCTTCATGCTTCTCTAACGTCTGATCTTTATGCTTACTCAGACACCAACTAGGGCGGGTGCCATGTGTCTCGGCGCTCCACTTCATGATACTGTATGTTTCTTGGAGATAATCTCATTTCATGGTCGTCTAAACGACAAGGGGTCATTTCTACGTCTAGTGCAGAGGCGGAGTATCGCGGCGTTGCTAACATTGTTGCAGAGACATGTTGGGTTCGTAATTTACTTCGAGAGCTTCGGTGCCCGCCTACCAAAGCTACTATTGTCTATTGTGATAATATCAGTTCGGTTTACATGACATCGAACCCCGTGCAACACCAGCGCACGAAACACATCGAGATTGATATTCATTTTGTTCGTGATCTAGTTGCTCGCGGTGCAGTTCGAGTTTTTCACGTGCCTTCTTCCGCTCAGTATGCTGAAATCTTCACCACAGGCCTTCCGACTACACTCTTTAACGACTTCAAAACTAGTTTGAAAGTTCAGAATTCTCCTCCCGATCAAACTGTCGGGGGAGGGGGGGTGTTAGCGGATATATTATTCATACATTTGTATTTAGTTTAGTATTTTTGTATTTAGGCTTGTACTGTTTAGCCCATTGTACGTATTTGGCCCATGTAGCCTCATGTATTTATACTCTCATTAATGAAGTCGTATGGCAGGAGGTAATTACAAACTATTAGGTGTAACATTCCTTTGGTGAATTTCCAAATGGTCTATGACGTGCTAGATTAGGCATCCCATTGGGGTAACAATCCTAAGAAGAAGAATCAAGTGATGGTATTTGCTATGGATCTCTATGGTGCATTTGGAAGGCGATGAACGAGAGTCTTTTTAATAACAAGAGGGTGTGTGCTACAAAAGCGGCCAACATCATTAAGTCTACTATGTTTCTATGGTTTAAACATCAGAGTGTTAACGGTGGTTTAAGATGGTCACATTAGACAACCCACCCTCTCATTGATTTGTAATGTTTTTGTTTTCCGCTTCATCTTTCCTTTGTACTCTCGTTTTGCCTTTTTCCTAGCAACCTGCTATGTTGGGGCCTTTTAATTCATATTCTCATTTGTTGATTAAAAAAAAGATAAATGTTTATATCCGATTCAAATGAAGTTGATAGGAATGATTGAACTTTATGGTTATAATTCTTAAAAGATCGGATTTAATGATGTCCATATATCATTTTAACCATGAATAATACCACGTCTTATCTGGCGTGAATCAACACTTTTCAAGTCAATAGTATGGTATAGTTATATTTAAAATCTAAAGAGTAAATTACACGAATGGTCCCTATGGTTTGGGGTAATTTGCACGTTTGGTCCCTAACTTACTTTTTTAACTCGGAAGGTCCCTATTGTTTGTTTTTGTTGCGTGCTTGGTCCCTGTCTTACCTAAAAAATATTATTTTGCCCTTGATTTTTTAATTTATTTAAATAAACACACCCCAACCCCACTTCCACATTACATTACCTTACCTTATCTACCCCACCTTATTTAAATAAATAAAAAAATCAATGGCAAAATAGTCTTTTTAGGTATGACAGGGACTAAGTGCACAACAAAAACAAAGTATAGGGACCTTCCGAGTTAAAAAAATAAGTTAGGGACCAAACGTGCAAATTACCCCAAACCATAGGGACCATTCGTGTAATATACTCAAATCTAAATTATGCATAGACAGAGCAATAAATACCTTAAATTATGTTTAATGTCATTAAAAAATATACATATTTTTTAATATTCAAAATAAAACGATGACATAAAAACAGAAAGTTAAGCTATAACCAAATATGACTTCAATCTACATAAATTGATATATAAATATAATTTACGATATTAATATATAATCTATTGAAACCTTCGAAGACTGTATTCTAACATGTAAGTCGTGTATCATATGACATATATAATATATTTCTTGTGCATTGCTATATATATATATATATATATATATATATATATATATATATATATATATATATATATATATATATATATATATATATATATATATATATATATATATATACTAGCTGTTTACCCGCGCTAAGCGTCGGACGGCAAAAAGTTTCTTTCGGAAGATAGTTTTAATGTGATGATTAGTTTCCTTTAGACGTGAGCTATTCATTGCGATCATTTGGTAGACAATTTTGTGTCGAATAGTTCATTTCAACGCATAGTTTCTTGCTAGGTGCATAGTCATACAATACGACAAAAGTTGAGTCTACATTTGGAATTTTATCTAATAGTTCATACTTGATTTTACAATATATAAATAACAACAATCTGCAATCATGTAGTTTTGTACATTTATAACATGTCCAATATATAAACTACATCAATCTACAATCATGTTGCTTCATCTGCTAGCCCTGCATTAAACATGAAATGAGCATCTAAGATACATATTTGAAGAAATTGTAAAATGATAAGTTGTTGATTGTACCTTGTTAATCACATAAAACTTCTTTGTACACAACGTTTGATGTGTAGATTCCATCATTATCAAACGTTTTTTCCGGCTTTACTAATACCTTGGCAGGGGCAAGACGGTCACATTTGTTGCAATATTTTTTTGGGAACACATAGTCACACAACAAACATAGTACTTTCGTTTGTAAAAAATGTTAAAAATGATATTTTTATAAAGTAGAATGCTATTTTCTGTATATTTTCAAAAGTTTTATTGATAAATTTCATTTTTCTATAAAATGACCAAAATGCCCTTTATCCAAAATAAAGACGAAAAATAACCTTTTCTGTTCTTTTTAACCCACCTTTTGCACATATCACATTTAATAACTTTTTTAATCAAATCGGGGCAGAACAGTCTTTAAAAATCTGTCAACAGCGATACAAAATTTCCCAAACAAAACATACTCACACTTTCAAAACATTGTACTTTTGTTTGTAAAAAATGTTAAAAATCATATTTTTATAGAGTACAATGATATTTTCTAGATATTTTCTAAAGTTTTATTGTGTCAACATCATTTTTCTATGAAAGAACCTATAATTATCGATATGCAGTAAATTAATAAACTTTTAAGATTTTCTTTTGACTTGGCCAATAAAAAATTAACAAATATCAGCAACATATATTCAAATTGCATATGAAGAAGTAAAAAAAAAAGAAGGAAAAGACGAAAATACTTTGGCAGTGAGATTGAAACCTATATTTCCGAGTCTAAAGTTAATTGTTCCATTTCAAGTTCAAAGTTCCAAAATTAGGTCGTTGACCTTAACGTATGACAAGACTGGAATAGACAGGATTGGAATAGACAGGACTGGACTTGACAAACTTTCTAGGCTACTCTTAATGATGAGAATGATAAGGGCATTCATGTCATTTTTCACAAAAGAGAGAAGGGCATAATGGTCAGATGGTGTTTTTGGAACATATAAAGTAGGTAAGAGTTTTAGATACCTTCAACTACTTCCTCTGCTACTTTTGAATGTTGTTTGACCAAGTCTCCTTGATACTGATATTTAGAAGAGCTGCTGATAGTTTTTGGGATAAAGTCTTGACACCACCCTCAAGTTCTTCATGTGGTATTTCAGACTTTGATGTGACTTCGGGTGACAAGGAACTTTGATTTGAATATATCTTTTGAAGATTCAAAAACAAAAAAGTATAAGATTTTAACCAACACTTGAAAAAGCAGAAATCAAGGAAGAAAAATATAACAAAACCAAGATATCATAATTGGTCTATTTCAACAAGATTTCTGAGGCATTAATTAATCTTGAATTGTCTAAGAACAAAGAATACACGCATTATCTTATTTCTGTTGCAAAAATTAACACAATTTTGACTTTGAAAGTCAAACACGAACGTATTGCTTTCCAAATTCAAACTCGATTCGCAATTACAAACAGTTTTACATTCTTACTCAAATTGTTCAAATCTTCATCTTTTCTTGTATTCCGATGTAGTTATCTTAATTTCTAGTATATTTCATAGTAATTTCGGATTTATATGTGACGTGTTTGACTGTAAAAGTTTAACTATAACATGAAGAGGAATCTTATTCTGATGATAGCTCAAGGAAGAAAAGCTACTTAATAGAATTAAGACCATATTTACCAGCCAATAACTACATACTACTATCAAATCATAGGATGCATTGTTTGGGCAAAATCAGCATCGAGCAAGGAAAACATAGATGAGAAGAGTATGATAGTCAAATACTTCCTTCTCCGTTTTGGTATTACTTTGACTAAAATCGAAATCTTATTCACGTAAAGAACAAAGGGAGTAGAGAAAGAGGTGAGAACCTTGACGGCTTGGCCAACAAGACCAGGTTCCGAGTATGAACACCAAGCTGACTGATTTGGTCCCATTCACTTCCGTGCTCCTTCGAAGATCATGTGGCGTACCATCCGAGGTCAGGTGGCGACGGTGGAGACGCTAAGAACAGTGAAGATGCACAAACCTAAATTAGAAACTAAATGGAGAAGATGATGGTAAATTCCAAATATAGATTAGAGGAATCTATTACCTGGATGAGAAAACGGAGAAGATGATGGCGATTTCCAGATCTGCTCAGCATCTGGTCAAGAAACAAAAAGACTCATCAACACATATTAAAGATGCATAGCATTGCTACCACATCGTGGTGGCCAACATCGATGAGTGGTGGCGGGGATGGACAGCAAGTTAGGGTAGAGAGAGGGAGAGTAACGGATAAGAAAGAAATCAATTCAGAAATTACCCTGAAAGCACCAAATCAGTCATCAATTGTTAAACGTAAACCACTTTCAAGTAAATAGAGATGTAGAGAAAGAGAGAGAGATTCAAGAAACATAAGGCGGTGATGGAAGTAACTCACTGTTCGAGATCGAGAGAGAGAGAAAGAGAGGCGAGAGAGATCACTGCATCTTTGGTGGGGGAAGTCGGCAGCCGTGAACCTTAGGTGGGAGACGTTGGTGGAGATCACTGCATCTTTGGTGGAGACGATGAGAATTGCGGTTGTGTTTAGGAGATTAGGGTAAGATCCGTGTAGTGTGTAGTGTAATACGTATATGATATGTGTAGTGTAATACGTATAAGATTGGTTATATGCTTAATATTATTGTACATGAGGTAATATATGTTGTACCTCTTAATTTTCAAGAAATGGGCAATATCCTTAATAATATAGTAAAGATAAATATATATATATATATATATATATATATATATATATATATATATATATATATATATATATATAAAAATTGGTCTCATACAAGTCAGAGAAAACTTGATACATGAATATAATTGTACGATGTGATTGACTGATTGTGAAGATCATATCAGTTTTGAAAAGGGTGATAAACCAAACCGTGTTTTAAAAAGTGAATTGTGTTTGACTTTGTCGCATGATAGAATTTTAGCCACATGCATGATTCATGTCCATGTTATAAATTTTGAATCTCATTCGATGCTTAGATTAACTTTTCAGGAATCATAGAGGTATGTGATTGTGATCAAATGTGTTAGAAATAATGATTGAAAAAAAAGTCTATGAATTTTTGTAAATTTACACCAACAACTTCCAAAGACTTAGAACTAATTTTTTAACTCTTTATCTTTACAATGAATTATAGAGTTAGATATACAAAATATCAACTTATTTTAAATTTCATTTTACGCAATATATTTTTTATGTATTTTTTTCATTCATCTAGGCAACATGCTTTAATTTTCTAAAAACATAAATTACAAAAATAGTCTTGTATAGTAAAATTTAAGAAAATCGTTTCCATTTTAAAGTATGTTGCCTAAGATGTTGTTCGTTTGTCTTCTCATTCGTTATACAATGATAACTAAGATTTATATATTAAAAAAATAACAAAATTGTAAAAATGGTCCCTATGGTATGCATTTTTTGGGGTTTTAGTCCAAACAACGACTTTTTTTTGGATTGGTGGTCCTTTTGAGATAGTTTGCTTGTGATTTTGGTCATTCACTAAACTGAAAAGACTAAATTGCCCTTACTATATTTATTTTTCCATTTTTATTTTTTTCCTATAAGTATTTATATATAAAAAATAAAAATAGGGGCCCACATACCTCTCTCTCTCTCTCTCTCTCTCTCTATCTAGCTATCTATCTATTTATCTATCTCCGGACCTTCTATCTGTTGGATTAAGTGTCTAAGCTCATAACTATAATTGGTATGTACTTGACCCGAGAGTAGCATGGTCCATTTGGGTTGCATATCACCACGACAATTTGATAGGATGGACTTTTGAGAAGAGTTTAATTATGATTTATTAATATATTATAAGTTCTAATATATTAATATGAAATCATATTATTTAATTAGTATTGATCAAGAATTAATTTGGAATTAATTTAGTGATCAAAAGAGAATAATTAAATATATGGGGATTGATTGTGTAAATCATTGATTCTTATAATGTGGGCCAATGATCCATAATTCTTTAGGTTGGGCTAAACCAATGTGACAACCCATGGATAGTCCATGGAGGTTTAAACTCATGGAGCCTAAGGAATATGGAAGGTCATGCACATTAGGGTTTACATGGTGTAACCCTAATCTTTCCACACTATATAAGAAGCCCCTTAGCATCCAAAATGACTCACTAGTGTTCTTGGAGATCATAGAGCCGATTTTGGTGCTAGTATACTCTCTCTCAAAAGTCATCCTTTAGTCTAAGGTGTGTTGTGAACCATTTGAGGTGTCACACTTGGGGCAGTAAGTTCTTGTAACGCCCGTGTTTCGGGGCTAAGCATTAGTAGATGATGTAATAGTCTAGGTCAACTGTTGTAACTCTTTTTGAAGTAATAAAGATGAATTATTTGAGTATTATGTGAATTTATGTGTTTTTTACTTAATTATAAAGATATAATTAATAAAGAATAAAAATAAGCGTCAAAATTAAAGTGTGAGATAAACCCGATATCTTTACATAAAGTTGTAGTAGTCGAAACAAGGATTCCGGTGATATTAAGAACGCCGAAATCCGAGTTATAATGAAGAAGTTATGACCCTTCGAAGTTTCGCGACGGAACCGGCACGACATCGGGAAGCGTAAATAGTGAATTTACGATAGAACGATTTTTAGCCTTAGCAATCTAAACGAAAGTCATAGAATATGTTAAACCGAGAGCGTCCATAAAAAGAACGCCCAAATCTGACTTCGTATGAGGAAGTTATGATTTTTCGAAGTTTCGGCTTAGCAGTGTACAGCCCGAAGTTCGAATATTAGATCGAGCGGTTTTTAGCCGACACAACGACACAACCTAAACAATAATCGAAGATCTCGTTGATAGTAGCGTGACGATAACAAGACAGACGAAAACGGATGTCGGATGAAGAAGTTATGAATTTTTAACGCACCAATCCTGTCCCGGCCTGTTAAAAATAAAGTCAAAATTAGCCGACGAAGTCTAAACGAAAGTTGTAGAGTACCATCCCGCCTACACGTGGATATAAAGAACGTCGAAAACGGAGCTTGTATGCGTAACTTACGAATTTTAGAAGTCGGAATATAAATCTGCGAAATGTGATGACGTGGCATAATCTGGGCCGATGCTTGCTGACCACGCCTCGCTTCGGATGGGTGACATCTGGCCTTGATACGCCTCGCGCACAAGAGGAGCGCCCAACATCCGAAGTACGCCCTGCGTACGAGAAGGTTACGCGCAACGTTCTGATCCCTCATACGGTCCGAAGAAGAGCCACGATGACCCAGCAGCCTTGCGACGCGTGCTCGTATGAAGCCACACTACGCCCAGCGTACACCTTCGGTACGCCCAGCGTAGACCGAAGCTGGAGCCTAAAAATAGGTTGCAAAGGTAGCCTCTTTTCTTCACCAATTTACTCACCATTTCTCTCTCTACTTTCTCTCACTACCCCCTAACCCCCCCCCCCCCAAGCCTAGGTAAACCCCCTAGCACCCGAATGAAGCCCCGAGGCTCCCGGAGTCCCGAGAAAAAGGGTCTTTCGGTTCGGAAACGCTGCTCCAAGTGAAGCCCTGTTTTCGAGAAAACCCGCTGTAAGTGAGCTACGCCTACGCTATTTTTAATATAACTTTTATTTAATTATAGTAACGATATTAGGAATTTATAATAATTATTTAGGCTATTATTGTAATATCCCGAGTTTTGTCATTTGTAGTCCCTGGGGATGGAAGGGTAAAGTCGTGAAGAGCCTAAGGGCTAAATTGTAATTTTGGGACCAGGAGGAATACGCTGCGCGTACATAAGGGTACACTGAGGGCGCGCCCTAATACGCTGGGCGTACTCATAACAGAAGGAAACCCTAATATCTCGGGTTGGGGGCTATATAAACATCATTATGGCTCATTTCTCTCCTCCTTCTCAGCCTCCATCTTCCAGAACGTCCCCAAACCCTAGTTCTTGTGTGTGAAAGTGAGTTGGTGGGTATTTTGAGCTCTTGAAGGTGAAGCCATTGCAACAAATACTTGAAGAAGGAGATTGGCTTGTAGATCTGAAGTTGTGTTGTGCCCTAGAAGCTCCAGAAGGTAAAAAGCTTCAAACTTTATGCTTGTAGGTCATAGATCTACCCTTTCTAGCATTATGGAACCATTTCTTGTCCTAAAACCCCAATATGGTGCATGATGCATTTTGGACGAGATAAGCTGTCCTTTCTGGACCTTGAAGAGGTCTTAAGTGATAAAAATGTGGTCCCAATGACTTATGATGTCCCATGCATGTGGTAGAAGGGTCTTAATGGATTAAGACCTTGGATTAAGAGCTTTCTGGACGTCCAAAGTGATAAAGTTTGAGACTTTATGAGTCCTAGGCACATTTGGTCACTGGATCTGGAGTTTGGGCTTAAGTGCTTAAGCCATTAAGCACTTATTAGGGTTTTGGTGAAACCCTGCGTACGCCCAGCGTAAGGTTCTGTACACCCAGCGTACCGAGTCAATGACCCCGTTTTCCAGTCAATGCGAGACTCGTGTACGCCCCGCGTAGCCTTGGGGTACGCCCAGCGCACGCCTTCTGTGGACTTTTGGTGATTTGAGCTTTGGGTTTGGGCTACTTTTTGGTCTAGTAGGGTTGGGCCTTGCTGGACTTTCTGATTAGATATGTTTTGGACCAGTTTTGTTGGTAGTGGATCATGGGGTTAAGCCCTATAAAGAAGTTAGGCCCAATTTAGTAAATTGGGCCAATAATGGGCCTTGCATAAAGACTTTCAAGGTTATAGACTTGAAATTGGGCCTTGGCCCAATAAAAGAGAATGGACATGATGGATTGAGTGGACCCTTAGCCAATAATGTTATGATGTGTAATGACTTGGTATTTATCATGTGATAGTTCGGGATTTTCGGTGAGATAGCGATTCGGGAGTTGCTACTTCAGTTCAGGTCGACATTGCGAGGTGAGTTATCCTCACTATATCAAGAGGGTCTAAGGCACCAAGGCCGACCCTTATGGATTTGTATTCGGATTATGGCATGTTATGTTCTTGATTTACATCCTGGTTAGTTCGGTGTCCTGGTTATAGGATGATGTTATGCTATTATGATCTGTTAGATCGGTATCCTGGTATATAGGGTGATGCTATGTTAGTGACCTGGTTAGGTCGGTATCCTGGTAGATAGGATGTTGCTATGCTATATGATCTGTTAGATCGGTATCCTGGTGTAACACCCAAAAATTTCATGCCAATTTAAAACTTTTTCAAAACATTTAAAAACCAATCATCATTACAAAGTTGTTTTCAAAATATCTAACATCAGAGTTTTCCCAGAAACCTAAACAAATCATGAGGAGCTGTACGATCATGCCTTCGCCTTGCCACGATCACCGGATGTACCTGAAACAATAAACTGAAACTGTAAGCCCGAAAACTTAGTGAGCTCCCCCAAAATACCAACTCCATACCAAAATAACCACAACA